CAGGGAGCGTGGCTTCTTATCCAGCCTTCAGTTCCTCCCTGTCACCGTCACCGGGTCCCTGCAGAAGTGCTGTCTCTCCCTCGGCCACCAAGCAGCTCCTGGGCCTTGGTGTCGGCCACCTCCTGGGGATGCTGACTGGCTCCCCGGCTTGCAAAGCCTCTTGCTCTGGGAGGGACTTGTTAACATGAGTAACGGGGATTGTGAGTCACGAATTAGTTCCAAGCTACCTCTCTCCCTGGAGCACAGCCGCGCTAGCTCCTGGGGAAGGGAGCTGCACCCAAACGAAGAGTGACGTCCTAATTGGAGGGCGCCGAGCCTGCCGCAGTGACTGGGGGCCCACGAGCCTTGTTAGAGCTGGTGCTTCATGCGTTATCACTAGTACTCTGGCTATAAATAGGTGATAATCTAAAATCAGTGGATAAGAGAGAATGCGCAGCACATGGTTAAACAGCAGGCCAGCTGAGCAGGGAAACGGCCAGTGCCCGAACGGGTGCCAAGGATTATATCTACAGCCCCGTGCCGGCGCAGCTCTCAAAGAGGGGCTCCCCGCAGTTGAACGGGTGCCGACAGAAGTGCCTTTCACGTGCACCCACGAAGGCTGGGGTGCACGGAGAGACGCAAATTAGCTGCAATGATCAGCTTTCTTACATGTGCGGAGGTGCATTGTACGCCTGGTGTGCTGTTTTGAATGTTAGTGAAGATGCCTATGTGCTCTGTTTAAGCAAAAACTGACATTTTCAGTTCAGGGTTTTTCAAAGAGAGATTCCTCTAGAAGACCCATTCAACAGTGGGATTCCTTTAAGGTTTCTTGAAGGAAACTTTGCCCTTCCAAATGTTATTTGACTTAGAAAACCTTACTTTGCATGTGATTTTAACCTTTTACACAACTTGTATAACTTAGAGCAAGTTACTTCCTCTCTGTGGGCCTCAAGTTCCTCATCGGTAAATGGAGGGTAATATTATAGTACGAGCAAATGAGATAATGCATGTGAAAGAGCCCAGCACATGGCGCGGTGCTCAGTGATAGTGGTTATTATTGTTGTGTAAAGAGGAGACGCATGAGGCGAGGCCTTTACTGTCTGAGAGCTGAACCCTCGGAGGATGCTGTGTGGCCTCGAGCCTGCCTCCTCTCCATCCCAAGGTCCACGCCCATCTGCATCGAGGAGGTCGGGCTGCAGACTGGGGTTCCTAAACTCTGTTTCAAACCAGGTTTTCCTTGTGAGTTTGTTAAAAAGGCAGAGCTTGACCTCTCATTCTCAGACATTAAGGTTACACAGGTCCGTGGGGCCCAGGAATCAGCATTTTAACCAGGAGCGCTTGTGGGTCCTCCCTCCCCCAGCCAGGTAACCAGAAGCAGATGACGTGATGACACAGAGAAACCCTGGGCCAGATCTAGGTCCCCAGCAGCCGACCGGCTCGCTGCTGCATTCATGCCGTCCCAGTTCGTCACTGGTTATTTCTGGAAGAAGCTGTTAATGATACAATGAACTTAGAAGTCTACTCTGAGGTCCCCCTGGAGTGACTGGGGCTTCTACCTTTACTTGTTGCCTGTCCTCCCAACACTTTGGGGGCCTCCTGCCTTCAAAACTGGCACACAGTAAAGAGCCACGGCTAAAGCAGGGATGCCAGCCGCCTCTGTACCTCCAACCTGGCATGAGGTTGTCTGCAATGCCAACAGCTGATAAGACGATAGGATTTTCTGGAACTGGATGAGGTACATATATTTCTTTAGGAACTGGGTACATCTTCACTAATGGGGTATGCCGCTGAAATGAGCTTGGCTGGGCCTGCAGGTGCGAAAGGCTCTGATGGAAACAAAGACCCCCAGTGAGTGAGAAGACAGTTCTGAGTGAGCGAGGCCAGGCCCTGAGAAGCCTGCCTTCCAATAATGCTGTCATCCCCAGAACGGTGTGCTTGGAGCATAATGGCTCTAGCTACAAATTCTATTAACTCTAATAGTTGTTCTGTGGTGAATGGATAATGCATTTAGCAGAGATAGACCCAATCAATTTATGTGAAACACATAAAGCTTTCTCATTGGAATTGGCATCTGTTCTTGAATCGTAGGAGTGTGTGTGGAAATGGACAGTGTGTCACCCTCACTTCTGGGCACATTAGCAGTGGGCCAAGGAGAGCTCTGGCTCCCTTATGCCATATCCCCTCAGCTCTTAGAACCATGGAGCTGGGGATGGCGAGGGACCTGGAGACTGTCTACTTCAACCTTGATTTTCAAAAGTAGCAGTTTTCTTTCCTTTGTCTGCGTTATTCCCTCAAACATGAACTGTTACCTGAGGGTTTGCTGACATGCCCCAGCCATCAGATGAGGGGATGGAAGGCCGGACAGAGGTGAGACCTGTCTTAGGACCACAGCTTGCTAGTGTGGGTCAGCCAGGAGTTCTGACTCCTGGTCCAGTGCTCTTTTCCACACATTTTTAATTGTCTCCCCACCAACCTTTGGCAAAGACGTGTATTCAGAATACAGTAAACAAACTGTCACCAACCAACTCAAAGGCAAGACTGTGGCTCGATGCCAGGGTTCTGCAAGTTATGGAAACCTGTGGGTTGGGCTTGTTTGCATGTAAACTGAGCTGATTCCATCCTGCCCTCCTACACAATATGTAAGCTCGAAAGAGAAGGAGAGATGGGTTAGGAAGCCGAGGCAGAGTCATCTGGCCCGGGGTCGGGGGAGGGTCCTGCCTGTCCTTACCTGGGCTTTTAGAGAGAGAGAAGGTGACAGAGCCTGCATTCACCTCCTCAGCCCTAGTGGTCATTACTGCTGGGGGGCGGGGCGGGGGAGAGAGAGAGAGAGAGAGAGAGAGAGAGAGCGCGCGTGAGCTCTGCAGCCTGTGATTGCTGTCCATATGGTTAGTGTGACTGTATGTGCAAAGCGGACAAACGTAATTTCTCAGCCTTAATACTTGCCCCATTTCTCTCTCAGTTTCTTCATCTGATTAGGTGAAGTGACTCAGAGGCTTCCGAGCATGTTCCGTGAAGCACCTGGACAGGCTATTCCCTGCCTGGATGCTACAGCGGCCCAGCTCTGCCCCGTGGGCTGGGCACAAGGAAATCCCAGACCCAGAGTGTCAGGCCCTCATCAGAGGGAAGGGCTGGCTTGGGGGACGTGAGGAGTGTTTAGAAATTTGGAAGCTTTGTGAGCGACGGTTTTCAGAAGACCCAACTGGCGTTTGCATTTCTAGGAGATGCTCGAAAGCCTGCCGGGGGGAGAGTGGAAATGCCACCAGCCACCCTTGTTCCAAGCCCAGCAGAAACTGACAGTGCTGAAATTGGGGGAGAAAATCTTATTATCCAGCCTCCTCTGTCCTTTGTCGGGATGGCTGGGAGCAGATCTGTTTACTGATCATGCAGGGGCTCTCGTCTGGGCCACTCTCCCAGCTCTTTTCCGTTTGTAGCGTTGATCTCTGATAGGAGAATTAGATACTGGAAGTAGCTCAGCTGGCTGAAGAGTGCAGACGTCAGGGCTACGTCCGGGCCCCGTTTCCTACCAGCTGTGGGATGTTTACATTCTTCCCCATCATCGCTCTCCTCCCTGCAGTTCTAGTAACAGCAGCGGGCCCTGGGCCAGAGTGAGGACTAGAGGAGTAGACGTGTGAGATGCCCCAGCCCAGGGTCAGGTGTGCTCACTGACTGGACTTCCCCTTCCCTCTGCCCCCAGCCCTCCCTTCCTCTCCAGGGACCTCTCCCGGGTAGAAGCTCTGAGTTAGGTTAAGCTTGTCAACCACAAATTGGCACTTGGCATCTACCTCTACAAGGATCAGATCAAAAGCTGCTGTGACCGCTGACCTTCAGCAGCCACCCTGAAAGGGGTTCAGGGGGTCGGTCAGGAATGAGACACTCTGTGCTCTAAAACACTGGCAGAACAGGCCTTCAAATAGATACTTTCAGGAGAATTTTTTTTTTTTTTTTTTTTTTTTGCGGAACGCGGGCCTCTCACTGTTGTGGCCTCTCCCGTTGCGGAGCACAGGCTCCGTACGTGCAGGCTCAGCGGCCATGGCTCACGGGCCCAGCCGCTCCGCGGCATGTGGGACCCTCCCGGACCAGGGCACGAACCCGTGTCCCCTGCATCGGCAGGCGGACTCCCAACCACTGTGCCACCAGGGAAGCCACAGGAGAATATTTTATGAGCCCAATCCTTGCATCTCCTTATATCTAGAGAAAGCACTAAAATCTTTCGTGCTGATGTCTGCTCCTTGTGGCTAGCTGTAACCTTCATGAGACTAGCAGCAACCTTCTGCAAAAATGTGTGCTGCACTGCACGTGCTCCCCCTTCACCAAAATCACATATACACTGACTGTCCCCCCTGCCTCTTCAGAGCAGTCTCTCAGAGCTACGTGAAATGCTGTCTCCTGGACTATCGTCCTCATATTGCCCCAAACAAAACTTAATGAGAAGTCACACCCACAGTTTAGGGCCAGAGGCTGAAGAGGCCTGTGTTTGAAGCAGCAAGGGCCCCACGAGAAGTCCTTCAGCACAGGGGATGCTGAATTAAACAGCTTCAGAAGGGAGCCAAGCTTTGGGGAAATGCGGTGAACCTGAAGCTTTGGGGGGGTTTTACCACTAATGAGCTAGTCTGCCTTTGAGCAACGGATAACCTTGGCCTTGGGCCCGGCCCTCTTTATGAGGAGAAGAAATCGATGGAAGGTTTGCTTTGTTCAGTAAATGGGGAGTGGTTTCGAAGGACTGAGTTGAGAGAAGGGTACCAGCTTGGTTCCCCTGTTTGTGCCGGGGCCTGGGTACTTCCCAGCCATGGAGGACAGTTGCTCCTTTGCACAACTTTCAGAAGCTCCGTTTCCCCAGGGAATAGGACAACCAAACAGCTTCCTCTTGGAGCCCAGTAGCCAGGGTGTAGGTGATGTTCTTTCTAAAGGTCGACTATTTTATTCTATAAACACCTCTCCCCACCCCAATCACAGCACATATCTTTCTTCTACCTTTTGCAACATAAGATCACTTTGCTCAGATATGTAAGTTGAACCCTTACCTGTAGGGTCAAAGATGGGGTTCTCTTTTGGTGTGTTTTCCCAGGGTTTTGTCTCCTTGTTTGGGTTTCCCTCAAACAGATTTCTTGACTTGGGTGCCGTAGTCTGCGGCATCTTGTCCTCCCCACCAACTAGAATAGAGAAGACCCCACGGGCTGAGTTAAGTGAGGTTCGGTTTAAGGGAGAGAGATGAGCATGCCCCGGGGAAGGTGGCAGAGACCATGGGCTTGGGTCTAGGAGGGATTGTGAGGCCCAGGATAGCCTGGGTTGGGGGCAAGTGCTGGGGACAGAGTGCACTCACTGGTGAGGTAGCAGTCCAGGCTGATGGAGATATTGTTGAAAGCCACGGTGGCTCTGGATCCTTGTTCCCACCAGGCAACGATCTGCAACCAGAACCTGTAAGCGTGTGAAGAGGAGTGGGTGTGAGAAACTACGCGGGTGGGTCATGTCCTGGATTCAACGTCCAGCACGATCCCAATGGGCACTGATGACCCGGCTCGCAACTGTAGCTGTTATCAGCCTCATCTAATCTCAGGGAGGCGGCGAGGGGGGCGCAGTCAACATCTCCCTGCTTCTCCAGCACAGGGCACTTCCCTTTCTGAGGGACTGCTCTGTAGGTTAATGGAATTTGGAGCTTGGGGCCTGAGACCAGGGCTCTCAGTTACTCTGAGGAGACCTCTTGTGCGTTCTGGGTGTGCAGGGTGGGCAGAAGGGCTAGGCTTCGTATCAGCTGGTGCTCACAGGCGGGGCTGAAGACATTATTAAACTATTGAGATGCTTCTGTGCCAGCTGATAAAGCGCCTCTGTCCCCCATGTGTCCTCTGCTTGTTGACTGCCTCAGGCAGCATGGCTCTGTCCCTGGAGCCCCCTGGATTCCTCATTATCCAGCAACTGAAAGGTTAGCTCCTCACACAGAGGGGGATCTCGAGGAGCCCATGTCTTGTTCATCAGTTCTGACTGGGGTTGGTCTCTGCAGTGTCCGACTGATTGTTCAATATTAAATGATTGGAGTGTGATCCCTGGGAGTGTTTGTAAGCAACACAGAGGGGGCCATAAGTGTTAACAGAAAACCCATGACGTACTGTTTCCTTCTATCTCTTTCACAGCCTTGGAGGATCAGGTCCTGGGACTGTGGCCAGGGAAGGCTTTAGAGTGGGATAAATAGAAAATACCTTTGGTTCATCTGTTTCCTGGGAAGTCATCCTCCTGGAAGACTTCAGGTAGCCAGCCCTGTCCTGCTGTAAAGTGAGTTTCCTGAGAACTTAAAAACCCTCTCCCACCTTTCAGAAAGTCAATCCAGCATGACCTTGGATTGCACAGAAGCATGCACAGTCTCTGGTGTGGATGTTAAAATATCAAGAGAGCCAACCCATGCCCGCCAGTTGGTGACTGGATAAACCACGTATGCGGTGGCCATACAATGGAATGCTACTCCCCAATATAAAAGAGTGGGCATGGTTACAGGCTATAAAATGGATAGACCTCAAAAACATTACGCTAAGTTAAAGAAGCCAGACAGTAATTAAAGGCCTCACGACACCATCTACATTTTCCCATTTATATGAAACGTATAGAAGAGGCAAATCTATAGAGGTTGAAAGCAGACTAGCGGTTGCCTGGGAAGGAGAACAGTATTGACTGTAAACCAACACAAGGGGTCTTTTTGGGGGGACGAAAACATTCTGCAACTGGATTGTGCTGTTCTTTGCACAACTCTGTCCATTTCCTAAAAGTCATTGATGTGCACACTGAAAACAGGTGAATTGATGGTATGTAAATTATAGTTCAAAAATGCTGGTAAAACAGAAGGGGAGAGGAAACTCAGACAGTGGAGTTGGCAGTGTGGGGTAGCAAGAGAACACAGAAGTGCTGGCAGGAGTGGGAGATTAACAGCATGCAGAAGGCGGGGCAAAGAGAGCAGAGCAAACACAGGAAACAGCCTTAGCAGAGGGAGGAAAGGCACAAAGGAAAGAAACCTGAGGAGAAAGAATGTCTGCTTATGATTTGCAGTGAGGGCAGCAAAGCTTTATAGTCAGTGCGTGAACTGCCACAGAGGCCGGAAGCCCCCATCGTGCCCGTGAGCGGATGACCTCTGATCCACACGTAGAAGGGCTCAACGCTGGGACCGGAGAAGAATTACTGCCTCTTGCGGGGGAAAGACTTGAAAACAAAATCAAACTTTTATCTAAATAGTGTGTTTGTGATCAATTATTCTTAACCAAGCTACTCCGTAAATCCGTCTATGCCTTTACCTGTCTTATGAAATCTGGTCGATCACAAATAATCCTTCTTATTTGAAAGTCACGATTAGGGGGCCCAAACCTGGTTTGATTCTGAAGAGGAAATGCCTGAACCTGCTGTACTCACAGCCAACCACACTGGCGCCTTCAGGCCATATTCCCCATGATGGGGCCCACGTGCCTCCATTAGGATAGACCGGTACAGAGGGCTGGTGGTTGGTTGGGCTTGGAAAGAAGAGTACCCAGTGGAGTATCCCCAAATCCTGTTCTGGGCTGGATGACTGTGCATGAGGGGTCAAACCCACCCAACTTGTCCAGCCAGCTGTTGGCACCTGGCACATGCCTCTGAGAGGCATCTTTCATGATGACCTTGATAAGCACCCACTGAAAGGATTTTCGTTTCACGTACACCTCTCATGTATGTGTATCGGGTCCTACTTCAGACCTATAAGGGATTCTAAAAGAAATCAGACAAGATGCTGCATTCAAGTTGCTTGCTGACCAGTGGAGAGACAAAGGGTGTTTATGTAGGTGTAGAATCAGTTAGAAGGAGGTGGATACCATGTGAGAGGTGCCGGTAAGATGCTCTGAGAGCTCAGAGGAAGGAAGAATTCCACCAGGCTGTGGAGATGGGGAGTACACCTGCACTGGGTTTCTCCACGAGTCTTGGCGAGGTCAGAGGTGTGGTTTTCCTGGATCTCCACAGGGGACATGGTCTACAGATGAACTCCTAGCTGGAGCCTGTGTAACCCCCAGGCACAGCCAGACCTGGGATTCTCAAGGGGCAAACAAGCGCCCTAATATTGCTGTCTCGTTCTCTCTATAGCAGTTGCCAGGGTTAGGGAGAGACTGCTCCCAGGCAGCAAGAAAACAGGTACTTAGAGCTGCTTGGAGAGGGTGACTAGAAAGAATCACGTTCCCTGGTGGAACATCAGGGAGGCAAATCTGCCCGACGCTCCTGCACAGCAGCGGGTAAGGGGCCCTCCGTCCACCTTTCCAATTCTCCACTCAGGCTCATCATGTCCTAGACTGTCCTCCATAGGCCAAGGGACCAGGCCAGGCACCGAGTTCGGTCCTGAGCTGCATCATGGGAGTACTTTCCGGGAGGGCCTGGGGAACATGAGAAAGTAAGTTACACCTGTGTGCCTATCGAGCATGGGGGAGAGGGCCGAAACCCCTGTTTCCCCCTAACTGATCTCTTCCCCTAAATGGATGTCTCCCCTTCCCTCTCTGCTCTCCCTGCCCCTCTCTTGCCTTCCTTCTTATTACTGAGAGATTGGAGCTGCAAAGTTCTCAACCAGCCACTGGGCCTCTTAGCATGGATGGCATGATGCAAGCTGGTGCGGGAATGGTTTCTAAATAGAAGAGTTTCTGAAGTGCTCTGCAAGGCAATGGCAGTGGCAGCTGCTGTTTCAAAGAGTTTGATTGACACTGGGAATTGCACATACTTTGAGTCAGGAACACTCATAACAATCAGGGAAGACTCAGTCAGATGCCGAATCAGATGTAAACATGTGTCCACCCAGGAGGCCACGCTGCCAACCCTCCCCCAAATGCTCCAGACTCTGGAGGATGCAGGGAGGGGACAGGTGGGACAAAGGTGGGTCAGGCTGGGAAGTGGGGGGGGGCAGGGGTGAAGCAGAGGCAGTTGGGGAGTGGGGTCTGGGGATGGTGGGGCAGGGAGGGAACAGAAGACCCAACCTAGGAGCTTCTTTTCTGTGGGACCACTAGCCAAGAGACCAGGTGGCGATCAGGGCCACCCAGATCCAGCCTTCTCTACTTTGGATGATACCTCACAGAGGATCTTTGCCTGAACCTCAGGTGAAGAAGAGTTTGTTCCTGGCTCTGCTTGCCCTCTCCTAGCTGGAGATGGGTGAGACTTCCTCAAGGCTCTCAGAGTCTTTCCGATCTAAGTGCAGACGCCAAGTCACGCTCCAGAGTCAGCCGCGGCTTCAGGTCTTGGGTCTTAGCACATACCAGGAGGACTGCTCTGGGTCTGAGAGAAAACAAGGTCCATGCCACATTACTGCCAGGATGGCAGGGGCCAGGTGGTTCTAACAAGTGCACAGGTTACTCTGCTGCCCCAAAGCCTCAGCTCTGTGTGGGGAAAGGAAGCAGAGCCTCAGGGCTGGCACAGCCTCCCTCTCCCTCTCTGTGGGCAGCCTGGTCAGGGACAAGGAAAAGCCAGCTCTCTGGGGCTTGTCCAGCTCCCTTACTGAGCTGTGTCACTTCAGAGCGTGGCAGCTGAGATCCCTCCGTCTGGCCCTCAGCCGTGGGGATTTCACTCCCTGCCCCTCCACAGTTCACACCTCCTCAGGGCTTTCTCTTTCTCCAAAGAAGACACTTTTGATTGCCTGGGTGGTCGTTGCTTTTTCCCTCTTTTCCAGCCAGTGGGGTTTGGAGCTTGTTGCTAACACAGACTTGGCTAGAGATCTTGGCTGGAGCCTGGCTTTGCATGAAGAACAGCCCCCCGACTCTGTCTCGTTTAGCTTTACAGAGAGGCCTGTTGACAGCTGACCCAGGGGGCTTCTGTGAGCTGGCCATTGGGGCAGAGGGCCAGGGTAGAGGGGCGGCCTCGGCATCAGGTGCCGCCCAGACCCACGGGGCAGATGTCTGCATGGGAGGTGCGCAGGCACCTCACGCAGAGCTCAGAAACACACAACCTCGTTCGGGCCACAGGTTGTTAATGGATGGTGGATATAATGCCTTACTTGCCACCTTGCCAGCCTTAGGGATTGACAAACCTAATTAAGTTCACTTAATGATTTTAAATAGCTGACAAAAAGGTGTGCGTCTGAATGTGGACTGAGGGAATAGGAAGGCTTTGGAGAGAGAGGAGAAAGAATGGCCGGGCTGGGTAACAGGCATTTGATGGCTAGGCACCACGTCTTGGATTACTCTGTGGACCATTCAGCGGGCTTGGGAGGTGGGAGTGTCCCGCATCCCTTTCTGCAGCTGGGGCTCTCCGGGCTCTGGCTGCTTAGGATCGGGCTGGCAGATATGCTGAGGAGACATGCTTTCTTCCAGTTCTCACCGTGCAGTTGATTTGCTCCACAAAAGGCTTCTAAAATGGACTGTTGCAAAGCTCGGGTCGCTGTATGCATTTCTATTAGAACGATGTATGTGATGACAAAGCCCTGCTGCATCCATCCTATT